TCATTTACTGCTCAGCTTTTTTTTTCTTCCCATTACCATTTATCCCCCTGATGCCATCTTCTACCTCCACCCCTCCCTTCTCTTTTTTTTTTAGTTTTTTATTAGTTAAGGTATTACAAATGTGTCCTCATCCCCTCCATTAAACCCCTCCTCCGCCCTCCCCTTCTTTTTAATTGGAGTATTTTGATGCAAGTCTCAGACATGTCATCTACCTGTAAATATCATTGAAACATGCATCCTTAACAAAAAAGACATTTTTTTGGTTATTTATATCTATTAACCTGCCACAATTTAATATTAGTTTTTAACTTGTTCATACTCAATTTCCTGAATCATCAATTGAGAATGATTTAAAGTCTTTATTGTGAGGCTCAATCTGGTTCAGCCCTCTGTAATTTCTTTTTTGTTGTTGGTTGTTCTGTTTTATTTTTAAGGAAATTAGAGGTAGGGGGAAAGTCAAGACTTTTCGGTGAGGGGGTGAGTAGAAGTGGAAGAGGGTATATGGGGGATAAATGGTGATGGAAAAATGTAAAAAATAAAAGACATTAGGTGAATCATCAGATCTTGTTCTGTATTGTAGCCTTGTATAGACAGCAGGAGGTGAATGGAATGATTAGAAGTAGTTAGGACTTACTGTTTTGAAATTTATATTAATTGTCATGAATTTCTTTAAAAAATATATATATATACGTATATATATATTTAAATTCTTTATTAGTTAAGGTATTACAAATGTGTCCTCATCCCCCAAAAATATATTTTTATTGATTTCAGAGAGGAAGTGAGAGGGAGAGATAGAAACATCAATGATGAGAGAGAATCATTGATTCTCCCTGGGCATATGCCCTGATCTGGAATTGAATCCACTATCTCCTGCTTCATAGGTCAATGCTCATCTACTGAGCCACACAGCCAGGGGATTTGAATCTAGAGTTGTGTTCTAAGATTGTAGCATTTGCATGAGAAATTGGTCCAACTCAGGTGATTGGTTGATTGGAAAGGAAAAACATGGGAAGCTTTCAGAAACAGAGTAAAAAGCTATATTGGTGAGGACAGTAACGTGTTCACTGAATTTTAATGTTAGCTGAAAGCCCCTAGCCTCAATCTCTAATTCTTTTCTGCCCAATTTGTTTGAGAAATTCATCCATTCCTTATGTACTCCTCATTGAAGCTCCATTTGTTGGTAGTGAATACAGTAGAAGGGTGTAGAGCAGTGGTTCTCAACCTTCCTAATGCCGCGGCCCTTTAATACAATTCCTCATGTTGTGGTGACCCCCAACCATAAAATTATTTTCGTTGCTACTTCATAACTGTAATTTTGCTACCGTTATGAATTGTCATGTAAACATCTGATATGCAGGATGTATTTTCATTGTTACAAATTGAACATAATTAAAGCATAGTGATTAATCACAAAAACAATATGTAATTATATATGTGTTTTCCAGTGGTCTTAGGCGACCCCTGTGAAAGGGTCGTTCGACCCCCAAAGGGGTCACGACCCACAGGTTGAGAACCGCTGGTGTAGAGACAATAAGGAAGAGGAGAGAACAGACTCCCATGGCTTTGTTTTATTTATGATTTACTTTTAAAACTTGACCTGATGTCTGGTGTCTTTTGAAACTATGATTAAGGCCTACACTCAAATCCTTGTACACAAGCATAAAAAGGGCCCTAACTGGTTTGGCTCAGTGGATAGAGCGTTGACCTGCAGACTGAAGGGTCCCAGGTTTGATTCCGGTCGTAGGCACATCCCCACTGGGGAGTGTGCAGGAGACAGCTGATGGATGTTTCTCTCTCATCGGTGTTTCTAACTCTCTGTCCCTCTCTGTAAAAAGTCAATAAAATATATATTTTAAAAAAGCATAAAAAGGTACATGCTGACCTTTTGCTAAAATTTCAGTGGTGACCACAGTGTCAAGGCCCCGCCCTCTGTCTGCTTTACCTACCAGGGGGCCAGTGCCATCCCTGCTGTCCCAGAACTGCCTTATCTTTGAAGTCTGTGGTTTCCATCTGAGGCTACCCACCTCAGCCCAGTGGAAATCCTGTTGAGAGAAAATGCATTGCCCAAGTGACTCGCCTGCTTCCTCCCACCCGCAGGCTTTTCCTCTCTCCTGGGGGACCTGCCACCCTCTAACAACTACTACATGTACCAGCAGCAGCCGCCGCCTCCTCAGCAGCAGCAGCAGCAGCAGCAGCAGCCGCCGCCACAGTCACAGCCCCAGCAGTCACAGCCACAGCAGCAGCCGGCACCAGCCCAGGGCCCCTCGACTGTAGCGGGTGCTCCTCCACTGCACACCCCAAGCCCAGATGGTTGTACCCCACCAGGGGGGAAGCAGGCTGGTGCTGAAGGCTATGGGCCTCCCTCTGTGATGGCCATGCATCCACCCCCACTTCAGCATGGAAGCTACCTCCCTCATCAGCACCATCCCCACACCCACCCTGCCCAGCAGCCGCCGCCACCACAACCACAGGCACAAGGCCAGGCTCCTATCAACAGTACTGGTTTTGGTGAGTAAGATGGTACAGGGAGATGCTGGGGGAGGGATGGGGGACGGGACCGGGGCATGAATGACTCCTTTTTCGGACTCTGGCATGGAGGTCCAATTGGTGAGGAAGTAAATACCGAGTCTAGCCTCTCCGTGAGAGCTCATCTGAACTAACAAGTTGCTACTTCAAGCTCTGTATTATTGAAGTTGTAGATAAATTGGGATTGTTTTGTATATTCTCCTGCCTATGAGCTGAGCTGTCAATACCTAATGCATAGGTAGCTTTACTTGTCCTAAATCTCCAGGGAGGGAGATTCTAAAACTGTCTTGGTAATGCAGTTGATAACCTGTATAGATGCAGGAATCTTACATGTAGTCAGTCTGCTAATGAGCTGACTGCCATCTAATACTCTTATGCCCCACTGTGTCCTCTTTGCAGCCTTTCCTCCTGACTGGTGCTCCAATATTGACTCCTTAAAGGAAAGCTTCAAGATGGTGAATCGGCTCAATTGGTCCAGCATTGAGCAGTCACAGTTCTCAGGTTAGTGATGACTGAAGAGAGGAGGGAGCCATTGGAAGTAGACAGACCCAATAGAAATCAGTACCAGAAGGAGATGGTTAAGTGAAGTTTGAAGATTTTATTGATTTCCCTCCGTATTTCACAAGGTAGATGATATTGATATAATTTCCAAATTAGGTTTCATAAATTTAGCCTTATCTCAAAACATGACCATGGTTTATCCTAACCAATTCTGTCCCTGGGAGAGAGGGAAGGCTCTCAGGAATTCAGAAAACCCGGACCAGTGGTTTGAATTTTTGTCACCATTTGCTGACAGTATGACCCTGGCTAATTCCTTCAGCTACTTTGAAACTTTGTTTTACTCATCAGTAAGATCAAAATTAAAATACAAATTTAGTAACAAGCAAGTAGAATGAGAGTTTGAACATGTAGAGCTCTAACGGATGCCAGTTATAATGGATAATGGATTTAATCGGTGGTGTTGATTTGTGATGTGGTTGGAACAGTGAGATGGGATAGATCCAACAGGGGGCTCTGGGCCTCTGCAAGGTTAGCCTTTCTTGCTTCTCTGCTTGTAGAACTGATGGAGAGCCTGCGACAGGCAGAGCAGAAAAACTGGAGCCTGGACCAGCATCACATTGCGAATCTGTGCGACTCCCTCAACCACTTCCTTACTCAGACTGGTCACGTGCCCCCTCAGGGGGGTTCCCACCGGCCACCAGCCCCTGCCCGAATTGCTGACTCCTGTGCCCTCACCAGTGGCAAACAAGAGCCAGCCCTAAACCAAGGTACGAACAAAGCTAGTGGCCAAGGAGGTGGAGACTCTGATGAAAAGGGAGGGGGTGGAGAAGGACAGAAGAAAATGGAGAGAAATCGTCTAATGGGCAGTGATCCAAACTGAGCAACAGGACAAGTCTGTTCACCACATTGACTGAACATTTATCTGTAAAGTCCTGAAGAATGCCCAAGAAATAGACCGTGTGATTCCTGGATGTGGAAGATGAAAGTTATGTAAGAAAAGGGAGGAGAAAGTCTCCATTCCAAATTTGTGCTCAGTAACCCATAGCTGAATCATAGCAGGTCAAGTCTTCATTCTCTACACTTACATGATCATCAAACCAGTGACAGAGAGACTCAGTGACCCTATTTCTACATTTGTCATCCTTCTAATGCCTATGTTATTCCACAGTTCTCTTATTGGGGCCCTTTATACCCTCAGGGGTGAGGATTGATAGCTTCTGCAGAAAGTCTTCATGCCCTTTGGGGCTATAGAACAGAGCAGGGGAGGGGAAATTAAGGGGAGGGAGAGGACTGTTCTTTCCCTCACTATGGGACCCTGCTTCATTGAGTAGAATGATCCCACTCAAGTAACTGTGTTCTTGTTTGGCAGTGAATTCTTATGGGCACCCACAAACCCCCCACCTATACCCTGGCCCATCACCGATGTATCCAATCCCCACCCAGGACTCAGCAGGATACAATCGCCAAGGTAAGAACCAGGAAGCTTGTTTTCCCACCAAGCACTCTGTTCCCTGACCAGGTGTCTCACTTTCTTGTCTCTGGGTCTTCATTCCCTGCACCTCCTGGCAGGAATGAGCCTTCGTGATTCTAAAGGCTGGAGTCTGGGTCACCTGCTACTGAGGTGTGTGTCATGGGAGACTAAAGTAGACATTTACTTTGAAATTATCTGGTACCTGTGATAATAAAAGGCAGTAAAAGCATGACTATAAATAAAAGATAGATACACAGAACATTTATGTCTAGCTTTAGAAGCTGAGAGAGATATACTCAGGCAAATAAATGAGCATGATATGCAAAACATAAAACATAGCTGCTTTGTGTCCATGGCTACTTTCCTGTTGCCTGACCTCTAGTATCAGGGGTCTGGGATGAAAACTACCTCAGATGGTAGGAGTGCCAAGGGAGACCCAAAGTTATCAGAAATAGTACAAAACGAACTGTTTCACTTCAAATCCATTTTAGAAAAATCCTGCCAAACCACAGGCGTTTTCAATTTTGGGAGTGACATTGGAATCTTTGTCCTTGTATTCCTTACACATATAATACATACACAAATTTCTGTACTGCTTTTCAAATATTAGTACATCTGTATGTTTTTGGTCCTTATTACGTAGTCTGTGTAAGTATAAGTGTAATGGCTGCTAACTGTTATATTGGCAAGGAAGCTGGTTTGCTCTGGTTTATTTCCTGGGGCCTCATGGAAGTTGTGGCTGGAAACAAAAATAACTCAGGGATAAGAACAATAGGTTCACCAGACATCCCTCATGGTATTTGGGGGCTGAGCACTGTCCATCTAACTGATAGAATAGCTTCCCATCTATTCCCCTTTTAATGTCTTTCTCTCTTCCTGATAGCACACCATATGGTCCCTCGGCCGCCGGTTCCACATCCTGGTGCCAATGAGGAGATCCCTGATGACTTCGACTGGGACTTGATCACTTAGTGCATCACAAAGTGTGACTCTCAGCCCAGGGCTGGGTGGTGAAGCCTGGCAGTGGGGAAAGAGCAGCCCCAGCCCATCCCTTCTCCCCTTATCTGTATATAGATATACTATATATCCTCTTGTTTTGTTCTTTCTCTGTCAGAGAAGTCACCGCAAGATGCTGCCGAAGATAACCCCTTTGTCCTGCCTCATTCTTCCTCTTTCTTCTTGTTTCCCCCTGATTCTTTTATTCTTATTATGTTACTATTACGATTATTGGTTATATGCGGTCCCCGGTCTCCTATCCCTATACCATCAACCATGTGCACCCCTTGCTAATTTAAAGTCATCTGGCTGGAAGGCGAGGCCATGAGAGCTACAGAGAAAGGTTTCAAACTCGGATTTACCTTTCACTCTGAGATATTCAATGCTAAACATACCTTTCGACCTTAAGTTGTTTTCTGTTCTTATCAAATCAGTCCAGGACTAGAGAGGCCACATTACCAAGTAGAAGGACCTCAGACACTGCTTGGCAGCCAGGACTTTGCAGGTTTTACTCAATGGTGCTAATTTTGTCCTCTGAGCTCTTCCCTGTCCCTTCATATTTTCAGTCCTTACTTCCATTGGTCCTCTTTCCCCATTAAGGGCAAGAGTGATGGTGGTGGTGCCAGAAGGTGACAACAGAACCCTAGTGGAATAAGAGGCCTGGGTTGGGTGGAGTAGAACACTGCAGCGGGGCAATGCAATGTAAAACATTCAGGAATTGGTATATAATACTATATCAAATCAACGTCCATTGGCTTGTTCCTACGCCAGTGGTTCTCAACCTGGGTCGCGACCCCTTTGGGGGTCGAACGACCCTTTCACAGGGGTCGCCTAAGACCATCGGAAAGCACATATATAATTACATGTTGTTTTTGTGATTACTCACTATGCTTTAATTATGTTCAATTTGTAACGATGAAATTGGGGGTCACCACAACATGAGGAACTGTATTAAAGGGTCGCAGCATGAGGAAGGTTGAGAACCACTGTCCTAAGCCATTCTCGAAGGGAGATAGGGTGGGCCTGAGTCAGAATCTGGCTGTGGTAGGAGTGAGGACAACTATTCCGCATAGGCTCGGCTTTTTGGAGATGTTTTCGGTGTAACCGTTTGGCTTTTTAAACAGAATTTTCTCTGGAAATGTACGGTGGTTCTTATCTGCATTTACAGGTTAGTCTTCAACCCCCTTTCCCACTCAGCAAATATTATGTTGTCCTCCTTTGGTTGTTGGCTCAACTCTCCTACTCACCGTACTTTCTTCTGCCATTTTCCGGCATTCTCAAGATAGAAAAGTAACCCGTGCTCACTCTGTGTGTCATCATGTCCTAGGGCAGGACGGGAATCTCTTTCCACCGATCATAGCAGAACCAACCGGAATTGGTGGTAGGAGGGTGGGGAAAGGAAAACGGAGCTGGCATAGACACAGGAAGGAACTCTTTCAGTTCTTTAATCATCTAGGCAAATGCTCTGTTGGAATCCAGACCATTGGGGCTGAAAGGTTTACAGTGGTCTTTGGAAAGGGTGAAGGAGCTTGGTAATGTGGAGTAAATAATCTAGAGGGAAGAGTTCAGTGAGAACCAAGGGAGACCCCTCAGAAAAAGGTATATGGATAACTTCTCTCCTTTAACAAGGAGTGGCCATGATTTATTGCTGCAGAGTACTTAGTATATATTGATATTAACTGTTGAATTGTAGTTATGAGTGGGAAGAACAGTTTTACTTCCATTTTTACTTCTCTGAATGTTTAATTTCTGAAAGCTACAGGACATAATGTATGGACTGGACAGGGCCACTCTCTCTGTGATTTCTGCTTTTTTGTTCATATTTCTTTACTTACTGATGATTTCCAAAAGATTTAGCTTTCCACTCCTGCTTTCCCCCCCTCTCCCACCCCCACCTACTTTAGAAGGGGGTTCTATATGAGAGTTTGTGGAAGATGTCCAGTGAGGCTGAAGTAAAGGGGCAGGAAAGGGCAGTTGACTAAAGAGCACTTTATTTCTTTGAAGTTCTTTGTAAGAAGTGGGGGTGTGAGTGGCTTGAATCCCCCATTGTGTTGGAGGGCAGTTAGTGGGGTTGAAGTATGACATAATATTTTAAAATTGGGGGAAGGAGAATTTCTCATAGAGGGTGGCACAATGCCTTTGCCCAGTGTTTCTATTTTGGGCATCTTTCTTATTTCTTCCAAACAAGGTGCCTCCTGCACACAACTTCCTATCTGTTCTCCCTAAGATGCCCCCTTTACATGTTATCACTCCTCTTTTGTAAACTCCTTTTCTACTCAGATTCAGGCAGAGTTTGAAAGGGTAGGCTAAATCATCCATGTAAATGTCCCTTGTTTAGAAATCGTCTGTGTCTTAAAGAAAACTAGTCTCATTAAGAACTCTGGTGGGCTGCCAGAGTAACTGAAGTTTGGGGCTAGGGCTGGAGATTGGCTGTCAGGCTTCCTTGGACTTAAGGTCCCTTTCACTAAACTCAGCCTTGCTCAGTGGCAGAGGAAAAACATGACCCTCTTTGGGCCTGAGTTCCTATTCCCCACCATGAAATGGAAGAATACTACTTTTTCTTGTTGGTTCAGCATTGCTGGGCTGGAAGTATAGTCATTGTTGTTGTATTGGGTGATGTGTGCAAAACTGCAGGAGTTCACTGCCTGCAAGATGAACTACGGGGGAAAGTGGAGGAGAGGGACAGAAGGAGCAATTAATTGGTGTAGATCCACTCATCCCTGCCTTCCTCTCTTTAACCTCTATGTTTCTGGTTTGGTGAGTCCTTCCTACCACTCATAATGCTTTGCATTGGTGCAGGCTGGGAAGGGGGGTATGGTCTCACAATTGTTGTTGTTGTTTTTTTGCATGCTTTCATAATAAAAACCAAGAAGAATGTTTACGGTTTTATCTTATTGATGCTGGTCTCAAGTTTCTTCTATGCCAGGATAGGAAGGGAATGTGAAGTATTTGTTTTCAATTGATCTTTTGCCCCTCCCCACCTCATACCACAGGGTTTGATTAGTAGACTATTTTTTGGGGGGGTGGGTGGTGGGACGGATGAGAGACAAGAATGTACAGTATGCCATTAATGTTCTCATTTTCAAATGCTGTTAAAAATAGTGAAATATTGTTGAGAGGGACAGTCACCCTTTGCAACTTGGTGTATGGACAAGGTTGCCATGCTTTAATGCTGGGATATTTTAAAGATTAAATGTACTACAATTTGGGGAGGAATTGGGTCATAATAAGAGGTACTCCCCAGAGTTTTTTATAAGCAATGAGGGAATTTCAATTTTAGGAATATTTCAGATTACGTTTCCAAGGTAAATGGTAATCTAGAAGGAGTCCAGCAATGCCAACTATTCATTCCTCCTCATATCCTGTACTCTAACCTCAGGAGTTCGGGACTGATACCTAGGGTCTTGGGAGATTTGTTGGGATTTCCACAAGCCTAGCTAACTGCTAATACAGCAAGACTACAGCTATTCCCAACAAGATTTATTTGCTGCATATCTAGAGATTATGATATATTGAGTATCACACAATGAAAAGAATCCACGAATCTAGGAATCACGAGAAAGAAAGCATTTATTCCCATCAAATCTATAAGCAGATTAAAATAAAAATTAGCATTGCAAATATACACCATATTAGACATTACCTTACAAGTGAAAGAATTCCTAGTTGTTTGAAATTTCCTGTATAATACTTTATAACAAATTTGTAGCCCAGACCCTCTCTCAACTTCTAATTTTCTATTTTTAGATTAAATTATTATATTCAGCATAGATAAAGCTATATTTAAGTACTAACAAACCTGAAATTTTAAAGGTTTAACACATGCAGGCTTATATATAGAACAAATGAGAAGGTAATAGGGAGTTGAACAGTGCTTTTATAAAATGAAAGGATAGATGGAAAGCCATATGTATGTACGTATGGTTGGAATGGAGAGAGAAAGTGGAAGAAAATATGTGGTCATGAACAAATGAAAGTGTAATGGTTAATGAATATTGGAACTCTGGATAAACAAGAAATATGAATATGTGCTTGGATAAAATTCTTCATTTTGCAAAATCAGAAGTCATTTTATCATTATCTACAAAAATGATCAGCATAAGTTCATGACTTAGAAACATCATGGCAAATATCAGAAGGAACATCTAAAATTGTGCAACGGTTATTTCAGAAATGGGAGTGGGAGGGCAGAGTGTGGCAGGAAACTTGTCATATGTCATTATAAACCTTGAATGGCTTTAAACTATGTGTATGTATTACTTTGATAAAGTTTAATTTAGAAACCCAAAGATGTACACATCTGGTAATTATAACATGAATGATGTTTTAATAAGTTTGATGGTTTTCTTAGAGGGTACTCAGTTGTTTTTCGGTGATTTTAAACTTTTGACATTAGAGGTTAGTAAAGGTACAAATTCTAATATGAAAGAAGGCTTAGGAGCAGAAGAGAAATAAGGGAGTTAAGGCCTTTAAGACAAAGAGTAGAAGGCAGATGGCTCTACCAATAGGCAAATAGAGAAAACAGATAAGAGAACTCCTCATAGGGCAGCTTACATTACAGATAATGAGTAAGTTGTTAGATGCCTTAGTAGTCTGTGTTTACACGAGATCTTATTTAGTTGCAATAAAGGAAACTTGGAATTGTGTCCTGTATCCATGAGTATTCCAAATAGGAAGTGTCTGGCATTGTACTTGCTTCAGACTCATACATCCTTGTTTTCATAGACTATTTCTTTTTCTTTAAAAAAAATATATATTTATTGATTTCAGAGAGGAAGGGAAAGGGGGAGAGAGATAGAAATATCAATGATGAGAGAGAATCATTGATAGGTTGCCTCCTGCACCCCCTCCCCCCCCGGGGATCAAGCTTATAACCCAGGCATGTGCCCCTCACAAGAATCGAACCCGGGACCCTTCAGTCTGCAGGCCGAGGCTCTATCCACTGAGCCAAACCGGCTAGGGTCATAGACTATTTCTTCAAAAAAATGAGAGAATCATTGATAGGTTGCCTCCTGCACCCCCTCCCCCCCCGGGGATCAAGCTTATAACCCAGGCATGTGCCCCTCACAAGAATCGAACCCGGGACCCTTCAGTCTGCAGGCCGAGGCTCTATCCACTGAGCCAAACCGGCTAGGGTCATAGACTATTTCTTCAAAAAAATTTTTTCTATCTATCCACTGAGCCAAACCGGCTAGGGCCATAGACTATTTCTTCAAAAAAAATTTTTCTATTTCACTAAATGTATTGGGGTGACATTGGTTAATACAGTCATATAGGTTTCAAGTGTACATTTCTATGATACATGATTTGTATATTGCATTGTATGCCCACCAACCAAAGTCAAATCATCTTCTGTCACCATATGTGGCCCCTTTACCCTTTACTACCACCCCAACCTGCACTTTCTCTTTATTTAAAACCATCCCCACCACCACCAACAGTATAACAATAAAACCATAGAATAAATGATCACCTTTCACTTAGAGCTAGGATAATTGGTTTTATAATGAACCTGGAAGGGAATTTCGATATACTAAATAAAAAATTTAAGGATGGAAAGAAACATTTTACAACAGACTAGATTCTCATTTGTCTCAGGTGGCTTAGTTTGCGATAGAAGTAGATTAATTTGTGCATTGTCTCTCAGACGTAGCTTTCATCAGAAACAAGAGAACTTGTTTTCAAGTTAGGATGGACCAGAGAGTTCCCAGGTGATGCTGATGTCACTAGTCTGGGACCACACTTTGAAGGCCTCAAGACTGAGTCTTTGGTGTTTTCCGAAATCCCTGTTCACCATGTCCCTTGCTCTTTTAGAAACATGTCAAACTTGGTGAATATCTAAGAAGCTCTTGTGCTTGGGTCAAATGCTTGGGTCAAATGGTCCAGATTCTCACACAGCTGTACTGCTGTTTCTTCCATAAAAGCCTTTGCTTTGGGTATAACTGGTAGAATGTGTGTGCCCCTCACTGAAAGCTGCCTCCAGAATGCCCTGCACAGACTGCCTTGCTTTCTTCCTAAAATTTTTCCCCATAAGGGCATAGAGGAAGGGATTGAAGCAACTATTCGCAGATGCTAGGGCAATGGACACATGGTCCCAGGATAGCAGAGCTTTCTTCAAGGGAGTCTCTGAGCCAATAAACAAAAAGAGGACTCCAAAAATATGGTATGGGGCCCAGCAGACAATGAAGACAACCACCACCACTATGGCCACCTGGAAGGTTTTGCTCTGAGCCTTCATAGAGCGACCCCACATTTGGAAGATAATGAGACTATAACAGGTCACCATGACAATACAGGGCAGCAGGAAACCAATCACTAACCTAGTGATGGTTATTATCCACTGGGGTGTTGAAACTTCATTGTAATATTCAGGATAGTCCTGGAAATCTTGTGATGGCTCAATTGTGTATAGGGCATTACTAGAGGTACTAGAGAAAAGCTCTAAATCGGTAGAGAGGAAAGCATCAGAGTCATGCGGTGAGTTAATTCTGTGATCTTCAATGGGCAGGCCAATGGGGATTGTTGGGGAGGCCTCATCAGCAGGTTTAGTTAAATTATAATATGGATGTTGATCAGATAATCTAGTTGAATCCACAGGAACTGAATCTCCAGGAGGTCTTTGAAATGTTTCAGCATGGAGGAGCGTGGGACTTGTCCAAGGATGATCATTTCTTTGTGAAGAGAAAGCATCTGACCTGTCAACCAATTCTCCAGGCAACTGAACAATGGGGTTGTCAAGAGATGCATTTTCTGGTTGATCATAATTGTAGTATGAATAATCTAATGAGCCACTGGTACCAAAATTGTTGCCACATATAGTACGGTTGTCTAGGGTGAACACTTCCCGGTACATGAACGCAGGTATACACATTGCAAAAGCCACCACCCAGATACATCCACAGATAATGAAGGCTGTCCTTACATTGCGGTGATTCTGGCACCAGATGGGCTTGAGTACCAAAAGGCAGCGGTCCAGGCTAATGGCAGTCAGTAGGAAGACACTGGCAAACATGTTGAGGATGATGATGGAAGGAATGACCTTGCATAGGAGCCAACCATAAGGCCAGTGTCCTTTGAGAGCCAAGTGAACCAAGGAGAAGGGTAAGGAGAGGCAGCAGAGAAAGTCTGCCAGTGTGAGATGGAGAAACCAAACAGTGTTCACGGTCCACTTCATCTTTAGGCCAGCCACCCACAGCACCAGCCCGTTGCCTGGCAATCCCAATAAGAAAGTGAGGCTGAGAATGACCATGGACAGAATTACTGGGGGTTCATACAAAGGCTGGGAGTGTATGGCAGTTGAATTGGTCTCATCCGGGAAATACGCCATTGCTAAATTTCTGCAAAAAGAGAAACAAACATATTTAAAGTAACATTATCTTTTTAAAAATGGGTATCTTGGAAATCTAACCTTCCCACATAATGATGTAGAACTGCACAGGCCCTTATACTGTTTTAGTTTATATTCCTTGATTTCACATTGAATAACACAAAACTTTCTCTGATAGACTATTTACTTAATTATTAAAAAATTATATATATATATACATATACATATATTTGATTTTAGAGAGGAAGGAAGAGGGCCAGAAAGATAGAAACATCAAGAGAGAATCACTGAACCATGCTAGTCAGGCTCGGATAGACCATTTAAAATCTGTATCTATTTAAGTGTGTATCAAAATAACCTAATTTGAAAGTTTATATCAATGTAAATTTCTCCCTTTTTTTGGACTTTTAATCTCTCATTCTCCACTGATTACTTTCCTTACTTAATATTCCCTATTAAAAACAAACAAATGAGTCTAATTCTCAAACAATAACTTTTAATTTTTTTAAAAAAATATATTCTTTTGATTTCAGAAAGGAAGGGAGAGGGAGAGAGAGAGAGATAGAAACATCAATGTTGAGAGAGAGAATCATTGATTGGCTGCCTCCTGCACGCCCCACACTGGGGATCGAATCCGCAACCCAGACATGTGTCCTTGACTAGACTCGAACCTGGGACCCTTCAGTCCGCAGGCCACCACTCTATACACCAAGCCAAACCAGCTAGGGCAAACAATGACTTTTATATTAGGGGTTCCCAACTTTAAATCCATGAAAGGGCTTTTAGAAGCCCCATTTTTACCTCAAATGATAGGGAAATTTTTAACTTTAATATTTTCATTTCCTTGAGGATCAGAGGTCCATCCATTCTCTACCAGATTTTCAAAGGACTCACCACAAGAGAAAAAGATCCTAGACTCAATTATATCTTTTAGATACAACATCAACTTTTCCTTTTGCTGTGCAGGTTCTCAAGAGTTGTTTACACTCTTGGCATTGATTTTTCTCACCACTCATTATTTCTTTCTTTTCTTTTGTATTGAATATAACAGAAACAATAACTTTATATTAACAGAAGCAGAAAATATGCATAAAAATATAGACAAATAAGAATAAGAGATTTAAGAGGAGAAACCAAGATGGCGGCATAGGTAGACACCAGAGATTGCTGCCTCGCACAACCACTTCAAAAATATAACTAAAGAATCCCAGCAACAACACAGAGCGGGTAACTATTAAGGAACCAGCTCTGGATAGTTGACCTCTCCAAATCAGTTTTAGCTGCAATAGAGAAGCCGTATAGCCTCAGAGGCCAACCCCAGAACACTGCCACCCAGAGGCTGAGCCACAGACTGACTTTTTGCTAAACACAAAATAAGGCAGTCTGGGAAACAAATACGGCCTGCTTTAAAATAAGGACTGTGGTTTACAACACAGAGGAACCATTTATTACAGGGAAACTCAA